AGAGATAATTTTGAAATGGGACGTTTAGCAAGATTGCACTCAATTTTAGCCATATCTAAACGTATCCCCTGATGACGTTCATAGTCTTGGACATATTTTCTTTTTGATTCATCAGTGACGCCTTCAGGAAAACCTGAGGCTTGTTGCTTGTGTTTCAGAAACGTGTTAATATAACCGGCAAACACATCTGTGCTGCTTTTGGTAAAATCCCACACCTCAATCATTTTTACCAGCCGGTAGCCTGCGTCCAGAGTGACATTTAATTTCATGCTGACCCAACCCCCGTTAGCGCTTGCGGAGTTGAGTTGTGCCTGCAAGCGTCAGTCTGATTATTCACCTCAGCACAAGTGCGGCAGAGGGTAAAAACCAGTTTACCCTTTGCTGTTGTAAAAGGCCTCGCGAGGTGAGAGAGGAGCTGGCGGAGGTTCAAATTCCTGCACAGACTGCTTCACCTCCGGATTTGCTTTCATCATCTCGTGCCATTAATGCTCCCAAATCACAGTCATTTTTAAACAGTGCACTGATTCCAGCATCTGCAGTTTTTCAACGGTTTTTTCATAAATTTCACCAAAAGTGATTTTTCTCAGAGGACATGTTGCAGACGGTCGGAAGCATTTTGGACAGCAGTGAAAAAAACACCCTAAAAACTCAACGCCGGAAATCATAGCATATCCATCGAGACAAAACTCTCCTACTTTCCACTACCCAGAAGGTTTCAAAGTGTGCTGAATCTCTACATTTTGACAATGAGATAACCATTCCAACCACACAATACCCGCTGTTGACTTAGTTTTTGTTGAGTGTGATAACCGAGAGGGCAAAGGATTGCCAACGTGTTGGTTTTTAGAAAATTAGGTCTAAACACGCACATGCAAGCCGACACGATGGTAACTGATGTAATAGGATCGATCCCCGTTTCAGTAAAAAACTCCTCTGAAAATCACACAAGCTTTACGTAGAATCTCCACATCGTTCCTGCAGTAAAGCAGCGCTTCCTTCTTAAAATCAAAAGGCTGCTGTGTACTCACTCCTGTGTACCTTTCTAAAAATGTATTTTTCCGGAGACATTTGATTTCAAGACATTTGATCAAAGCCGAAATCGGAGACAGGAGGATAAGGCCCTATGTAGTTCAGATTCTCCTCACTAGAGAACTTGTGAAGAAAATAGCCTTTAGCTGAATCTGAAAACCCCGAGGCTGCGGGGAGGTTGGCTAGTTTCATCATGAAAAAACTTAGTGAATCTAATACATCCTAAGCCAAAATCTGGATCAGAAAACCATAGTAACTTGCACCCTTGCATGAGAATATTTTCGGGTACAATTTTTAATTGGATCATGGCTCTCAGGATTAAATAAGCGTCAAATCCTCTTGCATTGTGAGCAATGAATGTGTAATTGCTGAATTTAGGCCGCCTCATCAGCATGATAAAATCTTGTATGCACCCCACGCAGTATTTTTCCCAAATCTCGCCTGAATCGGATTTTGCGCAGATCAAAAACGGTGTATGCACACCGTTCTGATCCATAAATGTTTTGGTGTCGTAATAAATGACTTTATCTGTTAATCTTTCATCCTTTTTTTTCAAGCTGAATAAAACACTGATGTAGGCCTGAAACGATTCCTCGAGTATGTCGAATAATTCGAGTACAAAAAATCCTCGAGTCAAATTCTCTGCCTTGAGGCTTCGTTTAATTCATGTTTAATTAATTCATGGCTTTGCAATCACCCGGGGTCATGTTTCACCCGGACCGAAATAAGTGACGCACATACACACTGCACTGAATGCACACGCGAGTAGCGAACGCAACTTAACTTTCTCTTAAGCCATGGCGGACAACGTGGACCCCGGTGAAGTGCGAAAAAGACAGAAAATGTCAAAGGTGTGGGACCATTTTTCACGTCGTAAGGCGGAAAACATACTCCAGTGTAAATACTGTAAAATGGATGTAGCCTACCACAACACCACATCCTCCATGCTGCAGCACCTGACCAGGAAACATCCACATGTAAATGTCACTTCTGCAAGCGGACTCGGAGCCTCTACAAGATAATGCATTTTAGCCTGTATTTCTATATGTTCTGCGGACACTGTGCGACTTTTTCATTTGTAGCACTCAGTTTCAGCTCACACCGTACGTCTGGTAGCAACACGTCGGACTTAAAATGTGCTAAAAATAGCAGTTTTTACGCAACACGTCAGACTTTTTACTGTGTTGTTATTGATGTCCATTGTCCCTCGGGATTGCTGCAGGAGGACACGGGTATTAATGAGTGGCGGAGGAAAACGAAATAAAGTAAATGTCGTGTGATCAGTATAATTTGACATAACCATGGCAAGCATGCTTTCGACAATCCTTGTTAGTGGGAGACAAAAAAAGTGTAGAAATTAAAACGGACGTGTGTTAATAGGGAAACAGCTGGCGAGCCATGTTTGCGCATGCGCCGTGAGCGGTTCTGGTGCTGTTTGGGCCGCAGCCGCTCGCATTTGTTTACTGTAAAGTAAAGTTGAAGTGCTGAAGTTTTGAAAACTAATTGTGAATAAAACTTGAAGAATAACTGGCAATTGCTTTCTCATTTTAAGAGGTCTTTCATATTTTATAACATGCTATTTGATATAATGGTTTAAAAACGCAAAAGAGTAATTTATTAGAGTACTCGATTAATCGATAAAAGATTCGATAGAATACTCGATTACAAAAATATTCGATAGCTGCAGCCCTACACTGATGACCGTGGACCGCCGTTGTTTGCTGATGGTGCATTTAGTTGTAGGACAAACGTGGCCTGAATTGGATTTCCCCAAAGCGACATAATAAACATGCTTACAACTCATGCATTTTTTAAACAATTCGCAAGGAGAAACAGACCTGTCTGCTTGAGGTCTGTAAACAGGTGTTATGTGTTTTTGAAAACATATTAAATTTTGACATATCTGATTACAATTAGGACATGTGATGAGTGAGATTTCTGTTTGTCTGCATAAATCGCTATTACACACACAGCAAAACCATGCACAATTTTGCCCACTCGTGGTCTGATGGGGGTAAAGCACCAAGAACAAAAATATTTAGCGCCGAAAAAGCCTTTAATATTTTTTATGTCGTAATAGTGGTGATTCAGCAGCAAGAGAAACAAAGGATCCGAACGGCCTGCAAAATCTGATTCAAATTTAGAAATGACTTTGTCGGTTCTGAAAAAAGGACAATTTTTCTTTGAACAATATTTTCAAATCGAATCACGTCACTGAATGAAACTGGGGTTTTAACGGAAAGCCCGATTTGATAATGAATATTTTTTCCTGACATGTATGCTGCCGGGGAGAAGGCCTGACTCGGGTTCAGGGGCCTCGGGTAGACCTTGGCTCCTCTGCTGTCCCATCACAGGGGAGGGGGAAGTCCAGGAGGGGGAGGACCCAACCTTACCTGGATGTCCTATGTCTTTTATAATCCAGAAGTTGTGCAAATGCAGGGATGGGTGTAGATATTCTACTGGGGTGGGGCTGGGTTGGTGCCCTCGGACTCTGTGAGGCTCTGTGATGCTGCTGCTTTGGGCCCTGGCAGGATGGGCTGGGGTCTCCATGCCCTGGGTGGCATTTTGACAACAGAGGTACCTATTGGGGCCAGTGGGGGAGCTGGCTCCCTGGAGGGCTAAGCCCAACCAGCCATTCCTCCCCATCCCCACATATTTCTCTCCTCCTGCTCTCTCACATCATCACACAAACATGCACATAGGACCTTGGGGGGTGGACAAGTCAGGGAGTGTGGGTATGGACCCCATTTCCGCATTCCTGTGGCAACCTGCCCCCCAATTTTATTTGCGCCTTAAACACTTCCACCAATGACATTCCACGCAAACACACACTTAGGGCCTTGGGAGTGAGCACATTCAACGGCATTTGGCAGGGGGATTTCTCAGCCTCCTCCCGAGTGCCAGTGCCCATTTCCAATTTTAAACTGCACTTAGACACTGAGGGCTGTGGGTGCATGTGGGGTGGGGCGGTGGCATCAGCTGGCATAGGCCAGACGATGCCCGCAGTGCCCGCTCACCACAGCCATGGAATACACCTCATCAACACCAACACTATATTGGAGCAGGCGGAGGGAGACTAGGGGTCTTACCACACCTCTGTTGTTGCTTGGCTTCCTGGGGCTGGAGGCTAGGAGGGAGATCCGGCCGTCTGGTTGGGGTCTGGGGCGGTGGGTTGCTGTGCTCAGCGTTGGGCGGGGGAGCCTGCTCATCAGCACCCCAGCAGAAAGGGTTGAACTCTGGTAACTGGTGATGGTTGTACCCCATGTGCAGCAGTACCGGGACCAGAGTGAATAGGGTGTGTATGGGGAGCATGAGTGGGTGTCCGGCGTGCATTTTTGTAAGTCTTTGGTTGTATGTGCATGTGTGAGCATGAGGGAAGGAGTGTGTGACTGTGTTTGTGTATGACTGTATATGTCAGGTGGGGCCTTTGACTCCTCCCTTCTCCTGGGACTTCTTTTGATGATATAGATCTTCGTCTCCCCTCCCCCTGCCACACCTGGTGTGGAGTGTGGTGTCTTGGTCTGCCTGAGTCGTGGCTCCCGGGTAAGGGAGTTTTTTGGCGTCTGCCTGATCACTCCCGGTGGCTGCCTGGTGGGGTCTGGGTCCCTGGGCTCTGCTCGGTCAGAAATAATCGGTTCTTCAGCAGCTCTGGTAATAATAGTTACAGTCACTACGGCCTTGTTTAAAATATGTTTAAAAACACATTTGTTTTCTCTGGTGGTTAGTAACACCCAGTAGGTTGCAAGTTTTAACATTTGTATGTATTTGGGCCTGTTCGTATCTATTTTAGTCTGTTTATTTTAGCTTCCAGTTTTTGGTCTCTTGAGTGTTTACATACTAGCATGGTTTTATTCTTTTAGTTTCCTGAATGTTTTATTGGACCGTTCTGTGCAGTCCCATAGAAATGTGCTTTACAGTATTAAATAAACTCCAGTTATTCTAATGACTCATGTCATTCATCCTCTTTATAGGGATACATGATGAAGAAAGGGCACAAGAGGAAGAACTGGACGGAGCGCTGGTTCGTTCTGAAGCCCGGCTACATCTCCTACTACACCAGTGAGGACCTTGCAGAGAAGAAAGGAGACATCCTGCTAGATGGAAGCTGCTCTGTAGAGGCATGGTTTTACTCTATTCGTCTCTGTAGATCGGTGGTGGAGTATTGGGCCATCAAGGGGCCACATCATTTGTAGAAGGGCCAAGTATTAACTGCATTACTTGGTTCTTTCTTTAACACAGCAAAAGAGTTGTTTTTACCTTGTTTTTGCTGACATTTTGACTAATATTTTAGTCTTCCTCAGATCTTCGCCGTTGTTGGTAACTACACTTCCTTCTCCGTTTATCAAGCATTAGTTCATTCCGACATGGCTCATTAATGCCACTAGGATTTGGATTTGGAATTATATCCACCTATAATCTGATCACCCCACAAAGGACAGATGAGTGACATAACAGGGGCAATTCAGGGGACCAATCAGATTTCAGCAGGGGTCAATGCCCCTGTGGCACTGCCCCTAGAATTGCCAATGCTCTGAAGCAACAAACCGGTAGACAGAGGGCAAAATTTAGTAACCCCTAAATCACTGCTGGGTTCAGTAGATTGCAATGGAGCAAGGAGGCGGGAGCACATTACTCCAGTTTTATAATCACTGCATTGGCTTCCCGTATGTTTCAGGATCGATTTCAAAATACTTTTAACGGTTTTTAAGTGTCTTAATGGTCTTGGGCCTTCTTATCTTTCAGAACTGCTTTTACCGTATGAACCCTCGCGGTCTCTGCGCTCCTCTGGCAGCCGTCTCCTTGTCATCCCTAAAGTCAGGACACATATTCACGGCACGGCGTCCTTCCAGTACTTCGGTCCTCGCCTCTGGAACGAGCTGCCAGGGGACCTCGGGGCTGCTGAGAACGTTCATGTTTTTAGAAACAGGCTCAAGACCCATCTTTTTAGCTTAGCTTTTAACTGAATATTATCACTTTTTAAATTATTTAATTACTTAGGTTATTTATTTATCTATTTATTTATTTATTTAATGTATTCTTTCTTTATACATGCTTTTTAAACAGTTTTTTTTACCTTAGATTTATGATCAACATTATTTTAATATCTATATAACTTATATTACATTTCTCATTTTAGCTCTTTTGATTTTATATTTTAACCTTAATTTAACCTTTTTCCAGTGCTTCCTCTGTGGGAGCCCTCTGCCCCGGCGGCGGTGGTCGGCTGTGGATGCTTTCCAGGTGTGCCTAGGTGGAGGTGGGGGTCTCTGCCCTCCCTGCCCTGGGCGCCCTGTGTCGGTGCCTCGGCTGCTGCTGTGGATCTGCGGCTGCCGGGGCGGATGGCTTCCCTGATGGTGTTTCCTCATCCTTATCTTAGCTGGTCTGGCTCATCTGATCTCAGTCATTTGTGTTTTGTGTTTTCCAATAAAGCCTTTACAAGACAAAGATGGTAAAAAATGTCTTTTCCTCATCAAGTCGTCTCAAAAAAGTTTTGAAATCAGTGCATCAGAAAGGAAGAAGAAGCAAGAGTGGATCCAGGGTGAGTTGTTGAATCCAAAAATCACATCTACTCTTCTCCCTCATGGTAAAAGTGATTTTTGTGTCTTGCCCTGGGTTCCTGTCAGCTATTCAGACCTGTGTGAATCTGCTGCGCCAGGGCCGGCCGGCGCCGCACCACTATTCCCGGCAGAAGCGCCGGGAGCTACGTCTGAAGCAGCAGGCTGAGCAGGAGGAGCTGGAGCTGAGGATGAGTGAGCTGCAGACAGCAAACGAGGCCAAACAGCTGGAACTGGAGAACATGAGAAAGGTAGGAGAAAAACACACATCCAGTCTGATGGCAGCATGGAGGCAACATTCACATCAGTTATCTGGAATTAAATGAAGCAAAGAGAAATAAAAGTCTAGCTTAAGGAGATGGATGGTTGGTAGAAACAGGGAACTGAAAGAGCAACTTGGCAAATGACCTCCTCAGATGAGGGAGGTAAATGGCAGGGTTGTATGACTTTGTGGGAAAGATGGATGGATGTGGTTGATGTTCAGGGAAGAGAAACAAAAACAGTTAAATATGGCTAACCAAGTGTCCACATTTGATTAACACCTCACACAGTAGAGGACCAACGGAAGGATGATGCATCTTTGATGGATTTTTTCTTATTTCTTAAAGATAAGAATACTGTTGTATTTTTCTCTATTTTGACACTTCTTCTTTGCAACCCACTTTTCAACAGATTTGAAGACATTGCAAAAAATGTCATGGTGAAAAACAGTCAGAGACTGACACAATTGTTGGTTTTAACAGTTTTCTTCTTCATTGATTTTAGGCCTTCTGTGGTTACTGAAGTTTCACATTACGAGAAAGGTCCACCCACCCTCAGAAATCCTTTCATTCTGTCCACGTAATGAGCTTGAATCTTCTCAGATTGTGTCATAAGTCATTGTAATTACATATGCATCGAAGTCGAGCTATTGCAATAATCAAGCTAACATCTTCAAGACCAAGGATGTTTCTCAATGCCAAGGCAACTGGCCTAGAATGACAATGTCTTGCTAGGCCAGGCGCCTTGCTTACTGTCCTTCCTTGATCAAAGACAGACCGCAGCTCCAGCGGCGGTCGCGTCGCACCATGTGACACGTGAGGTAAAGTTAGATTTCATACATATAAGTTTCAATATAGATGTATTTACTTTTATAATTGTATATATATATTGGTTAAATTCAGCGAGTTACTACCTGCTAGCCACCAAAGCTGCAACGACTAAGCCACTAACCAAATATAGATAACTGCTTTGGATCTAAACATTTTAGATATAAGCCTGACAGCTGAAATTAGTTGACTTACATTTAAACTGGAAATTTGCTCCGAAGTAGCTGCTGGTTTCTGATCCACCATCTTTTTGAAAATACCGCGCTGTATTCTGTGAAATTTTTTATTAAGAGAAGGCAACAAGCCACCTAGTATGCATCCTTGCTCAGTTAGCTAAACGGCTAACAAACGGCGGACAGACGCTTCGTAGCACATGAACATTGAACTGATTGGAACAAGTCTCGGAGGTTTCTGATGATGAATCTCCTAGTCAACCGGGGGGGACCAAGGCATCAAGGCGAGGTCCCTTGACAATGAGAAACACCCCGAGTTCACTGAGAAACAATTTCTTACTTGTTATTTTTTTTAATATAATTGGTTACTTTGAGTTTAACATGCAGGCTGAACGTGAAAATGTTCTTTTACCCCTAGTTTCTGCACTAGCCAATAGAAAACAGACAAGAAAAATCTTGGATTAGAAAAGTCGCTCGGATCTACGTCACACTAGACAAAGGCGTTTAGCTAGCCCTCAGGCTTCACTTTAATTTTCATACAGAGGACAAAAACGTCTGCTTGTAAAAGTGGCTATAAAAAATGTATACATTTTTTTTGCTCTTCATAGTTGAACAACTTCAGCCTTGCTCAAACATAAATAAAATTCAGTCATTTTGAGGATTTTAACCCTTGAAATGCCAGTTTGAATACCCAGTCATTTCTGTAATTCATGAAAAACCATATAACCCGAGTTATTTTCTAAAAAAAGATTATTATTATTTTTTGCCTGGGGTGTTAAGTACAAATCAGTCTAGATTATGTTATGAAATATCTAAAATTTTGAATTTTTTGCATTTATAGTTTTTACATAGCAACAGGTTTAAAATTTACTATACACTCGAGCCATTAGAGGACAAAAACTTCCACTTTTAAAACGGCTTTAAAAATGGTCCAGATTATTTTTTTCTGCTTTTTGGGTCTAAATCTTGTGATCAACTTCAGTTCTGATCAGAAAAATCAAATATTCAAGTTTCAAGTTTATTTATATAGCGCCAAATTACGACAAGAGTCGTCTCAAGGCACTTCACATAATAAACATTCCAGTTCAAGTCAGTTCATTAAGCCAATCAGAAATAATGTTTCCTATATAAGGAACCCAGCAAACTGCATCAAGTCACTGACGAGTGTCAGTGACTTTACAGCAATCCTCATACTAAGCAAGCATGCAGTGACAGTGGAGAGGAAAACTCCCTTTTAACAGGAAGAAACCTCCAGAGAATCCCGGCTCAGTATAAGCAGCCATCCTCCACGACTCACTGGGGATGGAGAAGACAAAAATATTGAATATTTATCTGAATTTTAACCCTTTATGCCAGTTTGATTACATGATGCTCATTTTGTCATGAAAAAAGCAGACAAAAGAGGAGATATTTTACATAAAACATATTTTGAGTGACTGAAATCATTTTTTTAAATCAGCCTTGGATATGTCAAGAGTCTGTTAAAATATTACATTTGATGCTTTTTAGTTTTTCTGTAGCAGCAAATTTTAAATGTACCACCCTCTTGTGCCTGTTATGGACAAATCCGTCCCATTGACTTCAAGGCAAACCACAGTTTTTGATCCTGTATTATCTGCATCAAATATTCATGCTTTCTGTGATGTTATGGTTTCAGTTTGGACAAACGTAATCCAATTTATGATTTTTACTGTTCACCACCAAATTCAGTCATTTCTCCATATGTTGCCCAGGCGAGAAACAAAACGGTAACATGTTGTATTAGATGTGGCAACTTCGCATGCAAAGAGCACACAATCCTGTGTTGCAAGTCTTGCTTGATGGCTCTAATTTTGTCTCTCCTCAAAATGCAAGCAAGCATTCACACTTCTGCACTTTCATAAACAAACTGAACTACAAAGAGTTTGGATGTACCTGAGCTCCAGCCAGGTGCATAGACATATTGTTTTTGTTTGATGTTACACGTGAGAGTGAAACTGTGTTTTGTTTACATGCTGAGCTTCTGAGTTCAATAGACCCTTTTACTGTTTGTAAACAATATGACGTCAGCGAGAATGCGCGGGCAGCTTGGCAACAGAGAATGGCGTTGTGTCAGGCTTTATCAAGCTACGCTGCGGGGTTATCACCGGCAAATCTTGAATGTTACATTATTAAACTCACTTTAACGAATGGCAACAGACTCCCGGATCCCTGTGGCATTACGGAATGGGTGGAAGATGTAGGTGCGTGGCCAGATATCCAGTGGCCCGATATATATACGTTTTTAGTGAAGAGGCCCAGTAAGTACACACGTGAGAAGCTACGGGCATACAAATCGTTAGCAGCATACAACTATGTTGTCTGTGGCCACGTACAGAAAGTAAAATATCACGACATAGACTCTGAGTTTTGCGTCTTGAAGGCAGAAGTCCTTCCTAGCCAAAGACAAGGACACAAGACTGCTATGTACGAGGCTTGGGTCATAGTAAACAAACCAGAGAACTACGTCTTCACAGCCAACTGTACCTGCATGGCAGGGTGAGTATAGCATAGGTTTCTTTTTTTAGCGTGCTCAGAGTACATTCGTGTTAATTTTAGAGAAATACAGTTTATACTAATATGCAGTGGGAAAATACAGATGAATTAGAATGAAATGTTAATTTGAAGCATGAAATAAAGCGTATGAATTTATATGTAATCTTAGTACATAATTACCTTACCTGATATAAAATGGGCGCTACAAACTCGAGCATTTCGGATCGTGTTTTCAGTCCAGTTTTCATCAACCCTTTTGATGGCCTGCAGCCACAGACGCCTCCGATTTTGTTGAAATGGATGTGCTCCCTTTGGAATTCTGTAAAGTTTCAGTCCACTGCTTGAAGAGAAGCGATTCTGGCATCCATACACGCAACAACCCGACATGTTTATGTGCTCAGAACTTCAAAACAAAGGGTTTAAAACACTGTTTTAGTATTGAGTGTGAATGAGGAAGCCTTCACTCTCGTTGCCAGGCTGCGTGCACAACTTTTGATGACGTAGGTAGTAAAAGGGTCTATAAAAAGAGCAGAAGATCTAAAGAACCCCCCCCCCCCCCCCCCCCCCGGGCAACATATGAAGAAATGACTTAATTTGGTGGTGAACAGTAAAAATCATAAATTTGACTACTTTTGTCCAAAATGAAACCATAACATCACAGAAAGCATGAATACTTGGTGCAGATGATACAGGATCAAAAACTGTGGTTTACGTTGAAGTCAATGGGACGTTTTTGTTCTCTAATGGCCCGAGCGAGTGTATAGTAAATTTTAAATCTGTTGCTATGTAAAAACTATAAATGCAAAAAATTCAAAATTTTAGATATTTCATAACATAATCAAGACTGATTTGCACTAAACACCCCAGGCAGAATTTTTTATTTTATTTGGAAAATAACTCAGTTTTAGTGTTTATTATTATTATTTTTTTTTTCATAAATTACAGCAGTGCCTTTGAGTATTCAAACTGGCATTTCAAGGGTTAAAATCCTCAAAATGATTGAAATTTTTATGTTTGAGCAGGGATGAAGTTGTTCAACAGATCTATGAAAAGAAAAGCAAAAAAAAAAATCAATGTATACATTTTTATAGCCACTTTTACAAGCAGACGTTTTTGTCCTCTAAAGTCTCAAATGTATAGTGTTTTTTTTATAGCGTTCCCTTGGTCTATTTTCAAAATTCCAAATTGAATTTCAAAATTTGTCCAGAGAGACGTTTTGTGACAAAATGTTGTACCATATGCTCAAACACTGGTGAAATGGCGTCAAAAAGAAAAACAAAAAACTGCCCAAATGGACAAAAATGTCCCTAATGAAGCCTAAAGGCTAGACTAAGTGTTTAACTAGACTAAAGCCTATTTCACAATCGCATCAGCGGTGCGGAACGGCAGCGGGATGTTGCTGCTTCCAATAGGATCCATTATGGTCTATGGAGTGTTGCAAACCAGCTGCAATGGGACAATTTTCAGGCGCGTCCCAGAAGCTATCTAAAGATAGGATCGGGCTCTATTTTTGCCACGTGCCGCTTCTGGGACACGTCAATGTCCGCAGTTAACATATAGGGCTAGACAGGAAATCACACACGGTTTTAGTGTAAAATCCCTGATAATTTTCAAAGTAAATGTACTGCAATGATGCAGTTTCATGTATATGTACCATGCATGCGACCCAACGGCTCATTTACTTCCAGTATCATTCCAGA